AAAAATACGTGTACTGGGAAAAAATTGATAGACTGGCACGAAGTTAGTATGAAAAATTTGAAATTTTTACCTTACACGTTACCATTGCCAAGAGAGCTCGACTATATATAATTTGCCTTAGCTATTTATTTACCTAATTATTTATTATCGCTTCCCAATATCATAAGTCACAATAAACATTGTTATAATATTAGATTGATAATGTACGAAATTTATTGTGCATTTTACATATTGTTAAATTTAAATAATAAAACAAAAATAAATATAAAAAAAAAAAAAAAATCTTCTTTATTTGAATGTTTAATGATATTTGAATAAAATAATCATAAAATTATAAGCACAATTCTTAAAGAATTCGCTATTTATTGGCGAATAAAATTTCATATTAGAAAAACGATGGTACGTTATTTTACAACTTTTTTTTGCCTTTCGTTGAATATTAAAATTAACCCTTATTATTATTATTATTACTAATATATTCATCATTGGGCAAAAATGTTATTTACTAATTTAATGCAAAACATTATTATTATTATTATTTTATTTAATATCCTCAATTGGTCGATGCTGATAAGTACATAATGTACGATAGAAATTTTATCACAATTCTTTTCGTACAAAAGCTTTTAATTATTCTAATTTTACGCATAAATACAAAAACAAATAAAAGTACATAATTCATATAATGTAATTTTTAATAGAATAATATTATTATTATACATGACGCTCTTACAAGACGCGTGATAGATATCGGTTGAATATAATTGTAAACTATACGTTAAAAATCTTTATACTTGAACTATTTATGTAACGATAATCTTTATATTGTTTATAAAACATCTCGTGCGATACTCATCGACGAAAGTCTTATGCTTTCAAATTTCATATTATACGTATATTATTAATCTGTTCCACATACGAGTGAGAGCAGAAATAGAAGCAGACATTATTAAGAAAGACGACAAAAGAGGGGCTTGAAATAAAATAAAATAACAATCATATTCTTTATATGATACTTTCTATTCAAATTATATAGACACCCTCGCAATTCTCATAATATTTGAGATTAAATATGCGTAGATAGTTGAGTTTGAGATCTTATGCTCACTCAATGTCAATTGTGACGTGAATGCGAATGGGTCAAAGTGTCAGATTAGGGTTAGATTACAAGTCACAGTATAGAATTGTTTATTAGATTGCGAGTTGCCGTTTCATACATTGTTTTCTCTTTAAAAATTGATTGGATTACCTTGTTATACAATGTTTGCCACTTATTGCAGAACATTAAAAACCAATGTCAATGTAAGTTATGTTGATTTTTAAATTTGGTATATTAAGTTTTAATCGTTTTCTTGGAGAGAATATGTTTTTTCGTATTCGTTGGGTTACATATATATTTCCTTCCTTATGCACTTTCAGTTTGTATCGATATTACAAAGATTAGAATCTACACTGGTCATAGCTGAACACAATAACGAAGCAGTCTCACCGATTACTCAAAATGCTTTAACGGCAGCGAAAAAGATCGGTGGTGATATAACGGTATTGGTTGCTGGAACAAAGTGTGGTCCTGTGTCGGAGAAGATTAGCAAAGCCAAAGACGTGGCTAGAGTTCTCGTTGCTGAAAGCGACGCCTTCAAGGGTTTTACACCAGAATCATTGGCTCCGCTAATTATCGCTACGCAGAAACAGCATAATTTCAGCCATATTGTAGCTGGAGCTAGTGCCTTTGGGAAAGCTCTTTTACCTAGAGTATGTATTAATTCATATTATATGTTTATTCGATGTGATTAAACAAATTTATAATAAATTTGTATGAACAAGTAACGGCGTAAGACAATACGTCTTACAATGTCGTCTTAATCAGAAAAATAAATACACAATGGTAAGATTGCTTTTTCAACTTTTCTTATCTAGTCGTTGATTCAGAAACAATCGAGAGAGCTTAAGTACATCAATTCTATTTTAAATCATTCGACTTTATGTGCACTACAATGCGTAACCGCATAATGTGATTTTGTGCTACTTTTTGCAGGAACGTGTAAATTTTAAATTTTGACGTGACAAATTAGCTCTACAATTGTTACGTTATACCTGTCCAACACTCTATACTTATTGAACATGTTTATTATAGCGTGCATTCGTAATAGCAACACATTATCAAATTGAGATTAACGTTCTAAAATTTAATTTTATGATAAATTCGTTGATCCGTAAAAAAAAAACTTTATAAATATATTGATTATCTTAGGTAGCGGCGAGTCTTGACATTTCTCCAGCGAGCGATATCATTGGAATTACATCAGCCGATACCTTTGTAAGGACAATCTATGCTGGAAATGCGATTCAGACCTTGAAGATTAAGGATGCAATTAAAATAATTTCCATCAGGGGCACGTCGTTTGAACCGGCAGCTCTAGAAGGTGGAAGTGCAAAGATCGAGCAGGCTCCAGCCGGTGATTACAAGTCGACTCTGATTGAATTCGTTTCGCAAGAGCTTGCCAAGTCTGACAGGCCAGAATTGACATCGGCTAAAGCAATCGTGTCGGGCGGACGTGGCTTAAAATCTGCTGATAATTTCAAGCTGCTTTACGATTTAGCCGACAAGTTAAATGCTGCTGTTGGGGCATCTCGTGCCGCGGTCGACGCTGGTTACGTGGCAAACGATTTGCAAATCGGTCAGACTGGGAAGATCGTCGCTCCTGTTAGTAAAAGAAACATCTACATTCTTCATTTTTAATCATAAGTTTATGCTAACGGTGGCAAAGCGAGTCATATTTTCAATGGCCTTGACATATATCGAATGGCAATGAAATTTGCAAGAATTACAATTACATATTCGATACATATCTTAATTCTAGACTCGAGCATTGTCAGAAAAGCCATGTACCACGTAACACACGAGAAATAAATATGATTTGCCACTTTGCCAATTATGCATGTCCTCGATACAATTCCTAACCATCATCCGCATGATAAATTAAAAGCATAAAGATTCCCAATCGATAAATCAAACCCTCTATTATTTAATCCACACGCATGCACTCATATTTTTGTCTTTCTATCTATCTTATTTCACACAGAATCTATACATCGCGGTTGGAATCTCAGGTGCCATTCAACACTTGGCTGGAATGAAGGATTCCAAAACGATCGTTGCCATAAATAAGGATCCGGATGCACCGATCTTCCAAGTAGCCGATTACGGATTAGTGCAAGATCTATTCAAAGCCGTGCCCGAATTGACCGGAAAATTGTAATTACCCCTTCCGACGATTTATAGTACCACGGGTCTTATAGGAAGATAAATAATCCAGAATGTAAATTTTCTTCGATTGCTTCGGAGTTGACGTTCAATAAGAATAACTAACATGCGAGCAGCATTATTTTTAAAATAACAACAACTCGCGGGCGCACATATATATATATATATATATATATATATATATATATTTGCATGCATACACGCATGCACGCATAAACGTATACACGCCCGCACACATATATAAAAATATATTTTTGTATTGTCGTTATTCAAAAATAAAGTTTACAACATGGTCAAACGGTCGCTCCATCTTAATTACGATACCTTATTGCATCCCTAAACCTCCATTATAACGCAAGCAAACGGCTTATTATTATGAAAAACAACCGCTCGAGCCCTTCCCAGCCCCCTAACCGCTCAAAGCCACCCGATGAACAACGGTGAACTTGCGCGCCTCCGTCCAACACATCGATAGGCCAGCCGGTGTCAGTGTGTGGGTGCACAGATGAGCGCGCCTTCGATTCAAATTGGCCAAGGGCGTTGAAAACGTCGTCGTTCGATCAGCTTCGAAGCCCAAGTTCTCCTTGAGAGAGTTAAAGAGAGGACAACGGGACATCGGTGACAGGGTCGAGCACCAGTCCCGGTTGTCCCGGGCTCTCGGGGATATCACGACGACGGCGCGCGACTCGAGCCCTCGGGCCAATAGGCAGTGACCCTCGGCCAATAGCCAATACGTCGGAGTTGCCGAGTCGCAGTCGATCGGCCAATGGCGTCACTCGGCGCCTCTCACGTGAGCGATTTTCGTATTATTCGTATTTACGGTTGCCTAGCCAGTCGCGTATTTCCCCAGGGGTGCAGGCGGCTGCGAAGGTGCGCCTAGGCGGTTATCGCTGCTACTATAGGTAGCTCGGGCCTTCCTGCCCCGGCGCCGTTACCCCAGGTAGTAACCGGCGGTGGCTCGGCCCTCGGTAAGCCTCGTGCCCGGGAGTTGGCTGTTCGCGCTTATATGGCTTATTGGGGATGAATGGATGATCGGCTGGCGTGAGGGAGCCCCTGATAGGCAGCCAGCCCCGCTCGACGACGGATGCGATGGAAGACTTTAACGATGGTATGGACGGGAAACTGGCGAGCAGGATGCGGAAAGTCAATTACGATCAGTTCCATACCCTCGTCAAGATGCACTTGTCCTTCGAGCTGGATCTCAATACCGAGGAGTAAGGGACGCCTTTTAAATATTATGTGACTGTATTATGGGCTGACGCCCTTCATTATCATTGGATTATTTTTTTTAAGTCTGTCTTTTTTTTTTTTCTTTCTTTCTTTCTTTCTTTCTTTCTTTCTTTCTTTCTTTCTTTCTTATTTCTTTTTTTCCCTCTCAAAATACCCGGAGGAAACACCGATGGTTAAATTTATAGCCATTATCGTACGTGCGCTAATAGTATGCAGTCTTGCTGCTACCTGTCATTATCATTATTGTCAAAATATTATTATTGTTGTTGTTGTTGTTGTTGTTGTTGTTGTTGTTGTTGTTGTTTGCTACGAGACTTTGTAAGCAAAGATCTTTAGCCATATTCAACGCCAACAAATTCCTTTTGCACTTTTGAAAATCAATGCTTGCTCTGTGGAACTTTAAGCCTGCGTATACTTTTCGTTACTATTGCCTCGCTATTCCAAATTAATATTATTAAATATAATAATATTTTCCCTCTACTTACTAATCTTTATGCTTTGAGAAATTTTAGCGACACTTAAACGTTTAGATAACGTAGAGAATTTAGTAATAATTAATGTAAAATTTTGTATTCTACAGAAACGATATGGTAGCGGAGAAAGCGAAACTTAGGAAATGGAGTATACCACATTTCTCAAAGAAATTTAAGTCGACGCCAATTTTACAGAAGGGACCAGAGGGAGCAGCTTTGACGAAGGAAGGAATCAATCAAGTGAAACAGTTGGTAGAATATTTATCCAAAGAACACTGTAAGTCTAAGCACGTTTACACATGGGTGGATTAGAAGCGGTGCAAGTTAACACGCTTTGCTTTCGCGTTCTAGGTATTATTCAGGAAGGTATTTTTAGGCGCACTGGAAAACTTACGAGGCAACAGGAATTAAAGAATGCATTATATCAGGGCTTACGGCTTGATCTCGACGAAGGGAGGTTTAGCGTTCACGACTACGCATCTGTTTTGAAAGGATTTTTAGCCGACCTCCCAGAGCCACTGTTAACCGATCTTCATTATCCTGCTCACTGCCAAATAGCTGGTACATAACTTTTTCATCCTTTAATCGTGGAGCAATATTTTTATACGTATAATTCCTTAATGAATAATCGATCGTTAATTATTTATTAACGAGCCTGATCGAATAAGCTCCTGCTAAATGCATAATTCTTATTTTTCTTTTCATTAGAATTGAGTAGTTCCAGCAGCAATGGCAACGACTGTAGACTCTTAAGATCTCTTCAGTTACTTTTACTTCTCCTGCCACCACCAAATAGAATTGTATTGAAGCACATTCTCCATCTTCTAAATAAGACTGCGGCACATGAAAATAGTAATAAAATGAACTGTGATACTCTTGCAACTCTGTTTACTCCGCACTTGCTGTGCCCAAGGAAGCTCTCTCCAGAGGCACTCCACGTGAACTCGCAGAACTTGTCTGGATTAGTTGCCTTCATGATTAAGACGGGAAATAATCTTTTCGATATTCCGCCAAAGCTATCGACCGACATAAGAGCGTTTTGGATAGAACAGGAAAAGAAGTTATTAAGTCCTCAAAAAGCCGACGTAAGTATCATACATTTGACGCACGAACTGAGCAAATCAATGGTGAACGTGAGCTCCTACTGGTGCAGAGTACATCGTCTCCCTTATATATACTGGCAGATCGAAATTTTTTAAATTGGACGCTTTGTAAATTATATAAATTATTGTTGACGTGCGGAAAATATGGGATTTTAAAAACATGCGTATTTTAAAGGCTTCTCAGAAATAAATTATGAGATGGCGCAATTGCATTTGTACCACGCCACTCTCCCATCAATTGGAATTTATTCGAATCGTCTAACTAATTACATTCGACCATCTATTATGGATTATTTGCCATTCTAAACGCACAATCTCTCGAGCATAGGCCCGATCTTACTCTCTCTCTCTCTCTCTCTCTCTCTCTCTCTCTCTCTCTCTCTCTCTCTCTCTCTGTGCGCGCGTGTGGGTATACAGCAGCACAATATTTTGCGCACTCTTACGTATGAGGGATTTGTCCTATGGAAGTTGCCCCCTGACGTGACAGGCATTTGTCAAAAAATCAAGGCTTAATGACTTTGAATGTAATACAATTAAATGCACGATGCAGAAATTCCAAGGTCGGTGAAGATTTTATGGGCCTCCTCTCTTTCCCAGCCGAACGAGTCAACGACGGATGCGACTGACACGGCCCACACCGTCTTCAGTTTCGTCGATCGTAACTTGACGGCGAAGGCCACCGCGGCTCAGGACACGCAGGCGGCCCTGGCCCAGCTCTACGCCCACATACAGTCGATGCCGGAATCGGCCAAGAAGCGCCGGCTAGTCAAGCAGTTCAACAAGGAGAACGGCCAGGGCACGCCACGCCACGTCAAGAACAGCGCAGCCTCCAAGAGCTTCGGCGACTCCATAAAGAAGCGCATCTTCCAGAAGAAGCTTCTCAATCACAAGAAGATCATTGACGTTAAACTCGGGTGCAACTTCAGCAGGTCGAGCAGTGAGGAGAATATCATATCGAGCGTGAGTATATCGTCCTTGGGAAGGAGCACGTGTATCTTGTCTCGTGCGCTTCCTTCATCAGCTCAACCGGCTAAGCTCTTATTAATAGCATGAACGTTTATCGCATCTTCCTTATCCACGTCACACCCCCGCACCCATCCCCCTCATTCTCTCTCACAATCTCTCAATCTCTCGCTTGGCAATTAATACGCGAGCCGCCTGTGATTAACGAATTGGATGCCGTAGTCGACGCAGTTGTCGCAAACGGAGCTTTTTCACTTCCTTGGTATTTGCGGCGGCGGCGGCGGCGGCGGCGGCGGTGGCGGCGGCGTCGGCGAGTTGACGAGGGAGAGTTGGGGATTGGGAGAAGGCGACGAGTGGGAATTTCTTTAAGAATTAGAGTGCCTTAGCGAGCTTTCAAAATTACTAACAAAGGCTACTACTTACTCGCTTACTTGTTTCCGGGGCGCGCAGAGCCTCGAGGGCTCGTTACTTCTGCCCAAGCTGCTGAGCAAGTCGGAAGACGAGCTCAGCGACCTAGAGGGCTACGAACTCCTCAAAGCGAAGCACATGAGCAACAGCACTGGCAACCTCGAAGCACCCGGTACGATGATGACAACAACGACAACAATGACGACTACGACGACGACGACGACGACGCCTACAACGACAACGACAACGACAAAGTTAAAGAAGAAGAAGAAGAAGACGACGACGACGACGACGACGACGACGACGACGACGACGACGACGACGACGACGAAGCTCACAGCATCGGCGCCCTCATCGCTCAAACACCAGAAGCCACAGCATCGACCCAAAGTCATTCTCAGGAGCTTCGCGAGCATCGACGAAAGCCCGACGAGCCCGAGGGTGGAGACGAGCGAGGAACTCATCGAATCGACGCCGCGCTTCCTGAGGCACCGTAGCGAGCCGCCCGACATGTATTCGCGTCGTGCGAGTCACGAGGGTGAGCTCGCGAGGCAGGCCTCGGACCCAGCCCTACCCAGCTACATAGCCCCGCTCGATACGATCGAGCGCGCCGAGCCCGAAGAGCAAGAGGAGGAGGAAGAGGAAATAGAGGAGGAGGATGAGGAGGAGGATGAGGAGGAGAAGGAGAAGGAGAAGGTGAAGGAGAAGGAGAAGGAGAAGGAGAAGAAGGAGAAGGCGGCGACGGCGACAACGATGACGACGGCATCGACGGCATCGACAGCTACCTTAGCCATTGTCCCGGGCCTTCGGCTTTCACCCGCGACCCGTAGCCGACTTGGCTACCTTTACGCCGCCCAGACCTCCACGCCCTCCAATCTCCTGAGAAAGAGTCTGGCTGCGAACGAGTACGTGCTGACCCCCATCACGGACGACGACCAGAGCATGAGCCCCATCACTCAGAGCACCACCAAGATGACCAAGGCCATGCAGGTACGGCTAAAAAGCGGCTTTCGCATGACGCAACGCACTGGCGCTTTCGTTGTTTAACTGTTTAAAGTCTTGTAGCATCTCGCTTCGCTGCTATAATAAAGTGCACAGCTTTTTAATGTCACCTAGTGCTATTAAAAGTGCGAATTATGGTAAAGTGCGATGACGATGGTAATTGGAGAAGGGGCCATTAAAATATTGGCAAACGATATATTTCTTGTAGGTTTATATTGCTGAGGCTGAGATATTGTTTATAATATCGATCGGGGAAATGAATAATGGAAATATCGTAAAGTTCGTTGAGAATGAAGGAAAATTTGCATATTTAATTGTCACTTTGCTTGCCTAATGTTTCGCTTAATATACCGAAACGAAGAGCTTTTCAAAAGCTTTTCAATTGAGTTCTCGATTTTGCCTCGGATTATACACGCATAAATGAAATTTTACCTTCAATGTATTAGTTAATATACATTATTCAATGTAACAGTTAATATTGACATTGTTCGTGTATTTTTTTTTTTTTGTTTTGTTTTGTTTTGTTTTGTTTTGTTTTTCTATATGAACATTTGGGCAATATTAGCTTGTATATAACTATTTGTCATTTGCCTTAGGAAACAATGATGACGCCAAGATCTCGGAAACCAGTCATAATGATTTCTGCCTCGAATCTCTGTGGTCTCGCCACCTTAAACGACTGCTCAATGCAATATAATTCAACCAGCAGCTTACAGACTCCGAATTTCGATTTCATCAATAGGAATAGTTGTGCTTCCATTCTTGAAGAATCACCGCTAACCTCGAGCTCGGATTTCATTGCAAATTCAAATGCCGGTGAAAATAAAGAAAATATTGAAAAAGTCGATGCCCTTCCGGTGCTTCGACAAGGCTCGCCCGCGTGCTTGGACGACGATATGCACGGTAGTACGATGCAAAAAAGTACGATCGTCTCGACGACCAATACTTTTAAGGAGTACTATTTGTCGAGGAGCGTCCTGACCGCCAGTCCGGTGGATCTGAGTTTTACGTCGAGGACTGGTGACTTCGAGCAGTCCGAATCCGACTTAAATATCTTGGCCGAAGAGGGGAACAATCCAAGTTCGGATACCTCGGGAATAGCGTCGGGGAGTACGAATAGCATGAACAATTCGACGGAGAAGGTGGACGAGGCGATAACGTCACCGAGGAAACGTTGCACAAGCCTACAGCGCAACGACTCCAAGCGCTCGATAAAAGACGATTTAATTTGCGATAAATTAAAAATGAACAATAAGATCTTGAAGCAAAAGCAGCTTAGCGAGTCCATATTGAGTTCTATTAAAGTTAAAGATTCTCTTCCAGAAACGTCATTTTGATATAATTTTATGCATGGAGAATGATGACGATCTAATGACTAATGACGATTTATTGTGAATGTTACATTTGCCACTTTTATATATTAAGCATATCAAAATTGTTTAGATATGTCTTTACTCCTCGTTTCTCGTTATTAAAAAGTAAAAGAAAAAGAAAAAATTTTCTTACCATTAAGTCATAATAATCGTTAAGCGTGTAAAAAATCTGTCTTGCTATGTAATTTAGCAAACTGTTATGAAATGATTTTTTTTCAATACGATCATATGACTAAAAGAAATGATAAAATTGTATGTTAATATATTTTTCATATAAATTGTATTTATTACGTATGTAGACTACTAATTCCATGACATCTTTATGAAAATTGACTTTTTCATACAAGTAATTAAATTAGTATATATATTTTTTTTAATAATAATTATCCATTTTTGTCATACATTTGATAAAGACTATAATCGATTGATCAACTGCAATTCACAAGTACTGGAGAGTCTCGGATGTTAGAGATATTTTTTTATTACTTTAATGTAAATGTATGATGGATTGTTTCTATGATAAAAATATATGTTCCATGAAAAGTAAATGCGTCTTATTTTTACCAAACGGAATAAATAATTAATAAAAAAATCGAAAATTACTCAAAAAAAAGCTTCTATTTGAAGCATACTTATTATATATTTCTATCAATTATTACAGGAAAATACAAAATTATTAATATTTACATTTTTCTAAATAAACATGATACTGACATACATAAGCATATTTTAAATAGTAGCATCGATAATATTTCTAACTTTTTACAATATATTTCCATACTTTTTTCACCTTTTAATTTTTAAATTGTAAATGATTATTTAAATAATAATAATAATTGTTTGTTTGTGTGTGTGCGTGTGCGTGCGTGCGTGTGCGTGCGTGTGTTTAAGAAACGATAGAGTAAAATCCGGGTCTTAATGGATTCGATTGTATTAGTAAGTAAACTGATGTTTGAGCTAAGAAATAGTATCAAATTTTTACATTATTAAAATTTTAAAGGAGTCGAGCTCGGTTCTTAGCTTGGATTGATGCAAATTATCAAACGACGAATGTAAATTTTAGGCCATTGTCTTCGGTCAGAACATGTCGTCGTGGCCCAAGTCGGGTATATACGACAAGCCACGATCTTTTAATGCTTTGTTCATTAATCGTTCCTGGTCTTGCTTCAATTCTTGTTCTCTTCTTTGAGCATCAAGAATATCATCGACTGAAACTTCCGATAGAGGTAAATTTTTCTCTTTATCCTTGTCCTACAAAAATGAGACTTTTGTTAAGCCATCTGTTCAAAAATTAGACATTAATATTATAAGCTTACTATTTCCCCTAATAAAACTACATTCTCTCCTCTAACAATAAAAACTCCTCTGGGAATATCACCGTACTCTTTGCCAACGTGGATCCTTTCAATAGTACGATGAAGAACTAAATTTGCAAACTGATCGACACTCCTAAGATATCCAATTAACGTTCTGCCGTCTCTCAGCAAAACCATTAATTTTTCTATAAAAAAAAATTCAAACACAATACATAACGAAGATCGATCTTATTTTTTTTCATCTCCTAATCATGTAAGATAATGCATGTAAATCAAATAATAAATTGACAATCGCACAAGCCAAGCACGTTAATGTAAGCTTCATTATTAAAGGGGATTAATTGCATTAATGACATCAGCACGTAATCATTGTACTTTGAAATTAATTTCATATGATTAGAGATTCGTTTGGCCTCGCAAAACCTAACCACAAAATCAAACAAGAGACTAAAACAATTATTATTAAAAAGAATAAAACGTACTGTCAAGTTCCTCGAGGAGCGAGGCAGTGCCTGGAACGACGTTCATTTTTTATATGATTGCTTGTGCATTCGCTTAAGAATTTCAAAACATAACAAACAGTGAGCAATTTAATTTGGAATTGTAAACTTGGCTAAACAAGAGGAAAACGACGTTTCAGGTCGACGCATTACTGGTTCAACGTTACCAAGCGGATATCTGCTTTACATCGCAATTCCTATCTTGGTTACATTATATTCGTGATTAACCAAAGAAATTTTAAATATCAACTTTTCATAATTGTACGCTCTACTTGTGATTCTTTTCCATCTCAAGGTGCATTCTTCTCCCCCCCCCCCCTCCCGTTATTAATTATCAACATTTATAATAAACAACTTTTTTTTTTTTTGCTTAAGCAAATTCTAATTTACTAATGCAATTATATATTGCTCGAACAAATAGCACATTAACAAGCATATTTACAAAATTACTTTACATTTATGTCTAATTATTGCTCAATTTTAATCGTATTAATTCACATATGCATTTTCGCGCAATTGCAATTGCACACTAACGCATTTTCAATACTACATAACACATGCTTAATATATATATATATATATATATATATATATATATATATATATATACATATATATATAAACACATATGCACACAATTGTTGATAAAGTTGTAGTTGCAGAAGTAGAAGCATTACATAAAATATATGAAATAAACTAATGTCGATTTATTAATATAATTCATTGAACGTATAATATATATATATATATATATATATATATATAAATGCATGTAAATTGTAAATTGTAAATTAAATGTAAACTTTTACTCCTATCTATTCATAAATTTCGTAACTTTACAAGACTGATTTAAAGAGTTAATTTAATCAATTACTATTAACACAATAAAATTAATTATTAATATGAATTCAAGGATAAATTAAACAGCAAATATTTTTTACCCTAAAATTTTACGAACTACGTTACCATTAAATGCAGAATTTGCCAAAAACACTATTTCTATTCAGCGTTGAAATAACATTTCATTACCATCCATACGATATATGTAAAGCAATTTTTGACTGTCAATATATAATAATAGCAATAAGAATAATTTATAAGTTATTTAAATCTTCATACACGATATAAGTTAATATTCAATTTTACTTGCTATAAAGATTTTTTTATTTCAATTTTCGTTAGACTATGTGTATTATGCTTATGTGCATTATCAGTAGAGAATTCATAAACATTTATTATGTGCACGATAGGAGAGTTTAGATTTATTGATTTAATTATTTTTTTTCTTCAATTTACACAGGATTTCATTCAATTTTCAAAAATTAATACAGTTGGCTTTTTCCTATTTTGAAAGGAATATTTGTTTTTCAATAAGCCACCTTAATTTGTAACAGATTTTTTGTAATATTTAAATGATGTTTTCTTTCATTCTTCCTCTTTTTGTTTTATGAATTAAAGATAATTTATTTTTATTAATTTTATCATTTATAATGGAAAAAGATTTTTTTGCATGTTACATTCTTCCATAAATATTTACATGTCGTCGCCATAATTTCGTAAATAAATAAAATAAAAAAAAAAAAATAAACATACATATATTGTGAATTATTTCTCAATGATTACTTTATCAAAATTAATTTTATTTTCTCTTAATAATTACGTTAATGAAGCATTTAAAACTTTCAGTAGCGATATTACGTAGATAACTTTAATGATTAATAATTCCATGAATTTGCACATCAATGTTACTACTCGTTTTTATTCATTTTTATTTTATGAAATTAAATTTGTTATAATTTTTATTGACTATTTTGTATATTGGAGGTAGAAGCAAGTCTATATATAATGATTATGTAAGTAAATGCTTTGAAAAAAAAAATTATCTTAAAAATTTATAATTATTAATACGTAATTAAATTTCCTCGACCTAAATTATCGACTTTGTTTCATAATTATTATAGCTTTTAAAACTATTGGATAATGAATAATGCAGCGATTACATTTTCAAATTAATCTGCCCTTCTTACAAACACAACATTTACACACACATTTGTAATTTTATTAAAAACATCGCTATTAATAATATTATTACATTAGTATTTTAAATGTTATCGATACATAAATAAATTTCAAGCTCAATCGCATTAACCATAAACAATAGCCAATTTTTTTACAATTATTAACAATTTTGAATAAAATATCATACACAATATCATCTTAATTTAAATGATTATAATTATATTCGGAAATTTGGTACTATTTATTCCTTTTGTAATACTAAATTATACGCTTTTATCGTGAATTATTAATTTACTGAGAAACAAAATTTAATAATTAATTAAAAATACTTGCTATTTAGCTCATATTAGATCTTAAATAATATTAACTTAAAGGATCTTGTCGTATACGTTACTTTGGTGGAATTAAAAATGTTAATCCACTGAGGTTTAGCCAGCATAATAAAGCAATTGAAACACAAATGTTTATATAAAAATATATATTTGGAAAATTAGTTTTATATAAAAGAATTATATTTACAATATAATTAATTGTCCATTGTATGAGTTTCGCGCATAAACGCATGCTCATGCCACGCTTATGTTTAACTGATAATTTGCATTAACGGCAGTTCTAATAAAATTTAAATAATTATAAACCCTGGTAAATACATCGGGGAAACCTCTAGCGCAAGGTATGCAGAACGAGGCAATACCAACGATTTTATCTTCGATAATTAATGGACCACCACTATCAGCCTATTAGATAAAAAAAATATTAATTATATTAATTTTAATTACGGGCACAGGAAGTTAATAATAATTGCTCGAATTCTTATGAATTTTACCAGAATATATGTTCGTACGTTCGTATGCATGTATGTATGTATGTATGTATGTATGTATGTATGTATGTATGTATATGCAGATGATGTATGTACGTTGTGTATAAATATATATTTACAATTGTATTTGTTGGAAATGCTAAAGAAATAATTATCCATATGTTTAGTGCGTAAAGGATAATATGGAATGTAAAATATCGATAATTTGATAAAAGGAAATGAAAAATTATTGTGATAACGATGTCGCAATATTATCATTCGATATTGCACAAGAAACTTACCAAACATACACCAAATTTCGTATTACCGTCGGAACAAATATGCTCGTCATAAATCGGAAGATGAATTTTTTCCAAGCATTTCGTGTTTTTTATAATTTTAACCGAAGCTTTTCGCAATACCATGGAATAAACTTTTGACGGAAAGATTATTAGTCCCCAGCCGAGAATTTCAGCGTTAACTTCAACTTTAACATCGTCAGCTTGAATTATTCCATTCTTTTGATGGACATTAAATTCAATTTCTTTATTCAACTAGAAATTCAAAATTATTAAAAATTCAATACTAAATCCGAACGATTCATCTATTACAATAGCATTTTACAATTTTTAGAGAGAAAAGAAATTTTAGTCGCGATTTTTGCGCTACGATTTTTTTTCTTTTCTTTAATTGTGCTTTTCATTCATGTTGGTTTAGAGAAATAATATTAAAAATTGCTTGTGTATTTATTGATAATTTATGTTCATAATATTATTACGCGTAATGTGATGTATCAGAATATGAATAATGAGATTTTTCAGCTTACTGTAATAATTGCAATGTCATGTCTGCTGCCCTTGCCCGGCGAATTATATCCTGTGAAATGGGGATGGATTCTCACAGACTCGATATCGTAACCCTCGGAGTAGATGGATACCGAATAATTACTTCCCACGTAGATTCTTATGATTGAGTAATCTTTTTCGAATAGACAGTGGGCCGCCGTGAGTATGTGCCGTTTGGTGATTATGGATCCACCACAGAAATGTTTATTCGTTGTTAAGTTTCTTAATGATGACAAAAATGGAAAGTCCTTTATGTCTGCCACGGTACCTCCGATAATCTTCTGTCTTTTACACAAAATACCTATAGATGTTTTGATTATTTTTTTTGTTTTTTTTTTTTTGTTTTTTCTTTTTTTGTTTAAATTCTGTATTAATTATCCGTAGTGAGTGATAATAAGACTCTGGCTGAACTGAATTCCCAGTTATATTATTTATTGACGCTGCAATAGTTAATCATTTCATAGGCTAACTATAGCTTATATATTTTCTACAGATAAATCCACATTTTTTACGTGCCACCTTTCTCTATTAATTAAACGAATATCCGCGGTACTTTTCAATGTTACGAATACTTTTCTACATTAAGCATTTCTATTCTGGCAATATTTTGTTTAACGTCCGAATTCAGTTAATTTGTAATAATGAACTTTTTTTTTCAGAGCTTAGGCAAATAAAGAGAATTTTCAAATAAAAGAAATAATTTTATAACTAGTTGGAATTATTTTTTCTTCTTTTTACTTTTAGCGACAATCAAGCGACAATGGTTATATTTGCATAAGTAATTTTTTCATTTGATAATACGCATCTATTACTTGAAAATATTGTTAAACAATAAGAAACTTTCAGCTTTTCATTCAAGTAAAATGATCAATCTGTGACATGCAATTAAAATATTAATTATAATTTGACATTTTAATTAGAATCACGAGTAATAAACGAGAATTTATGCAGTGTTTTTAATGTATTCCAAGGCTGTATTTTACATACAATTTTAGTTATTATTTACATAAATAAGCTTTCTTTTTATTCAAAATTTATTAAATTTCATACATTACAATTGTACATCTGTGGAATTCTCTGTCTATTCAATTATTATGAATTATATCCAATTAATTAAAAACATGATTTCTAAAGTATAAAATTTATGTGAGTTTTTAGATTCATAGAAATTTATATTTTCATATATATAAAAATTTTTCTAAATTATACGTAAGAAAATGATATTTATTAAAAAAACAAAAACAATAATTAATTTTGAATTTATATTTTATATTTTTATGATATTATTAAATTATTTTATTTATATGTTTATTATCAAATTATGAATTATTTATTATCAATTATAGTAAAATTGTACCTTTCTATGTTATTCTATTTTATTGTACTAGTAAAAAAAAAAAAAAAAAAAAAAAAAAAACCCGACTTATCGCTAAAACAATATCTGGAAAATTTTTTAACTTTGAACATAGATTTTAAAGTTAGTTCAAACAAATCTATTTGAACCACTAATATCTATTCTACGGAGAAAGGCGAATATACATATAAAAAAAAAAAAATTATTTTATTAGATTAAAAGTTCTTACAAATGCCTTTGCTTACAAATATTTCCATATGCTATTCTGCACATTGTACTGTATAATTATATAAATATGTAATGAAATCCTAAAATCGAAATATAATTGGTCGTATTTATTATTTATGTTGAAGAATCTCTCTTTATTCACTATAGTTAAATTAATTCACAGTATTACTGAAAAATATCGAATTGATATGGATTAGTTTATTACGTAGATAATAAACAATATAGTAAATGTTTAATTTTCCATCAATTAAGAATCTTATAATCATAACATTTTGTGTTTGTATTATAAAATGTAATATGAATTTTGTCGTTATTATGTAATATAGATTTATTACTTTTTTCTAGCTTGTCTTGGATTTTTATACCGACATTTATAGACTTTTTTGTTTATTTCCTAGTTCATTTGACATTTCTATGTTTCTATAATGGAAAAAAATATTAAAGTAACTTTATTATTGGTTGACCACAATATAGTCAGGTTTATTTATTTATTTTTTTTTTATTACCATTACCATGTATTACTATTTATATGTACCATGTGTACTGTTATATCATTGCGGTATCAGCAACATAAAACCAAAATGGGTAATAAAATATTTTATTGATATGTAAGTAAAATTCACGTATGTGCAGATGAAATAAAAATTAAATGTCATTGCAAGTATAACCGTTAAATATAGTAGTCTATTGACACAGATTATAATATAAGAATTTTATTCTAATGTAAGCGAATGAAATACAAACATCCAAGATAGTAAACACTATTATTCTATTATAATAATTTCAAAACTCAAATTTTGATATAAGAAATAGGACAGAGTTTCGTGCGCTTAACTATGCCCTACGGATAAATATTTTTATTACGTTATGTCTATTTTGCAAAAAAAAAAAAAAAAAAACCATATTTATGTACAACGATTATCGCTTATGTACTATAAAAGTACAATCGCAGACTAAAAATAAAGTTAACAGGTGAATTTACTCAATAGCTCGAATCAATTTCATTTGAATATTAAATAAAAATAGTAATTATATCCATCAAGACATAAGACGTGATACTGAAAATTTAATATTATTATCGAATTTACTATTAGCAATTGCAATACCAATAAAATTGTTTAAAATCTGATTGATCGTTTTAGCATTTAATCGAATTTCATGGCCTAAAATTTGCTCACAATTACATTTCTTTGTCAATTACATTTGTTTGTTAAATACAAATTATAGTAAATATTTATTATAGTAAATAATTTAAGCTATTGTTTATTTCTCTTATAATAAACCATTGTATCAACACTAAAAAGTGCTATAATTAATTGAGACTCTGTAAATTAAGAGAGAAAAAAGTTTATGAGTGAAAAAATAATGGGAAAATTAATTAACAATTAAATGTAAACTATATTGAATTCAATTGCTCAACTTATTTTATAATTTGTTATCAATGTCATTTAAAACAATGGGAATAATTTCATAGAAAAATCCTGGCCATACGTATAATAATAGAAATACAAAAGGAACGAAATTGTAGATGCGTGAGAGTGCACGTGTGGCTAAGATTGAGTAGCGTAAAGCGCCAAGATCATTATAGATTCGAATGGTATCGCGTTGATGTAAAATTAATATCGAGATGCAGTCTCAGCAAAATAAAAGTCTCATCGTGTATAAATTGTATAAACATATTGGCACTCGTGCACGCGAGCAAAGTAAATAAGCTCAAGAAGGTAAATGCATTCCTTTGAACTCGCAGATTGAAATATTATATTCCCTTATTTACGAAATTTATTATTTACACTATTTACACTATTTACGAAATATTCTAATTATGAAAATAAATGATTAATACAACACGAAAGCTGAAAACTGTAAATGATTAAGAAAACAATGCAAATACATATATGTAACAACGATTTTTTAATTAATATTATTATTTTTATAGTATACTTTTTATAGTAAAAAATTTTTTTTCTATATATATTTTTATTTATCCGTATTTATTTAATGGTTGCACAAATATTCGTCATGCGAAACCGTAAAGTAACGCAGTGTCGTATTTTAGCGATAACAAAGTCGACTAGACCGTTGCGTAAAAGAAAGATATGAGTCGACGGTAATTAATCGGAGTTTCTCCTACGCCATTATTATTATATATATTGAGAATACCAAAACTAAGAAAGAAGATGCACCTATAATAAGAATTAATTTACAATGGATTGTTAATGTTTTATAAATTTCGAAAATCTAGTCAATTCGTTCAGCTTGCAAAAATTAAAATATGACAATAGATAATTTTTCATTTAAATTATATATATACATATATATAAAACAGGATTGCCTATACCTTTAATGATATTATTAATCTAGTAATAATAAAGAACACTATAAAACTTAAACTCGACACTTAAAGAACAAAAGCAATAAGATCATGAAATAGATTTTTAAAAACAATTTTAAAATATAAGTTTTACTTACTCGTATTTAATGCGAAGTATAATGAAAGCAAAACGTAGAAATTCATTTAGATGTTTTAATGACAAACAGTTAAAATGAACGTTAAACAGCTCTTTTTATATCTAAAATAAATTCTGACTAGATAACATTAATATATTTTGAAATATTTTATTTAATTGCTTTATATCATCTGTACATATATTAATACTATTGTAAGTGAATTATATTTAAAATAATATTTAGATAATTTAAAGACGTAATAGGCCAATTGAGATTTATATTAAAAATGACATTGTTATTAGGCAGATTTATATCTTGCAATATTATGACTTGACATTGAAAAGATATAAAAATATATATGATAATTTTCGATGATTTTATTAATTATAAAATTATCGTGTAAATAACGTAACAATATTTTGAAAAGAATACTCGTAAATTAACATACAATTATTTAATTAAGCGAATTAGTATATATTTATTTTGATTATGTTCTATAATTGTCGCTTTATAATATCTATATATATATATATATATATATATATATATAAATATAAATTATAGATAGTGCTACAGTGCCTCGAAATATAGAATATATATATAAGATATATATATATATTATTTTATGATAAGTTATGTTTACAAATGATTGTTATAAAAATGAATTACAATACTTATAAAGAGAAATATTATAAAAGAAAATGCAATGTTAAATAGTATGGAATAAATAATGGAGAGGGACTGAAAATTTTATAGATTAATAGTAATAACATATTTTACATATACCATATTAATTTGTATTTTTGCTTATACTTAAAATTACAATTACATTCAAACTGTGATAAATCAAATGTTTATCTTAATGCTTATTCTTATTAAGTACATAAGAATGTTGTATGTTTATAAAAAAATAAAAAATAATAATTATAATGTATATAACCTATTAATTAGCAATTTATTATATCTTTTTGATTATATACTCGTGAAATTTCATAATCGTGAAAATGCAATTTTTATTATTAATTTAGCGAATTCTTATACATACGGTTTCTCAAAATTTCTTTTTCAACATTATTATTATTTCTCAATGCATTTTACGACATTGTTGTCAAACTTTACCATCTCGTCTATATTATACCTATTAATAATGAAAGTAAATTCATTTGGATTAATCAATATTGATGTATACGATACTTACGTTCCGGTACATTCATCCGTACTGTAATCGATCAATTGCTTTAACGTTCCAATTAACATATATAAATCACGCATTATAACAACAGCCAACATCCCTAATATTCTAAATAAATCTATGATATATTGAATTCATTAAACACTATGAAATGAATAATAATCATTTACATTATTTATTACTTTCATAAATACTGATAGAATTTTAATATATCGATAATATTTTATAATAAAATAATGTAAAACAAGCATAATATATTATAATATAAAAATAGAATAAAATTTATAAAGAGATTTAAGAATTACTATGTATACTTTCAAATCAGTGCTGATTATTTAAAAACCTCTACTACTTCATAGTTAATTTTAATTGAAGCATCAATAACATATGTCACCAGATTAAATAAATATAAATATAAGTATAGAAGATTTTAAACTTAATTCTTTTACTTTGTATTTAAATATTTACTTACAGTAAAACCTTGTAAATCAATAAATAGAATGAGTAGTGATTAGCTAATAAAGGCAAGGAATTTTATGTAATAAATCCATTGAGTGTATAAGCTTATATAAAAATAATCAATTTTTGTTAGTGATATGTGCTTAAATTTGTTATTATAAATTTCGAATATATAACGTAATTAAAATAGACGATATAAATATTTAATCTAATCATTCTATTCAAAGTATTTGACAAATTTTCGGAAACTTTGTTCTTTCTTAACTATATTATTTAATATATACAGCGCAACGATTTTATTCTTGGTCTTAACATTTATCACGATTTCGTATAATCGCCCGACTTGCGTAAAAATTTCGATTTCGAAAATACGAATATATTATATTTAGATTATCTGTTATTTCAATTTTTGCAGCAAAAAAAAAAAAAAAATAGAAAAATAAAAAAAAAACCCAAACAGCCAATATTTTCATTTCAAAATTCATTTATTCGATTCAATCCTCTTTTATTAATACTTTAGGCAAATGACTAGCACTAAGAGTCTCATTATGATGATTATTCAGTATAGGATCAAATAATAATGTTGCTGCATGTAAACGAATTTAAGCATTCCAAGAAGATAAAATCATTATGTATTAAAATACTTTTGTTAATGGATAGTGTTGTTAAAAGATTATTTAAAGAGAGCATCATCCATAAAGAAACAACTTTAAGTGTATTTTATTTTTAATATACAATACATAGATATAATTAATTAATTAATGTATGTGTAAATTAAACAAATAACTTACTTCATATGGTAAATATTAACGATGTCCCTTTTTCTATGAACTATTCAAATGAACGGAAATCACTCTTATTTACAAATGCAAATATAATAAGCATTTGTACGTAACATGAAATAACATTTTAGTTTTTTTTTTTTTTTTTTGTTTGTTTTTAATTGAGTTTCAATTGTATTCTGAATATTTATCGAGTTAACGCATCCGCTAAATATTATTCACGATATGCATCCCAATTGATAAATGCTTTCTTGGGTCAAAATGTATTTATAGTATGAAAGAAACTGATATTAATTACTTTAAGGAAAATAATCATTATTATAAAAGTACTACGTAAAGAAAATTTGAGTAGAAAAAGTAAATTAGCAATGAGCTTCTTGTATTGTTAATCAAGATGTATTTAAATGTTATCAGAATCATCAAATATAATAATTTAATTAAATTTACATTTCGAAGAGCATTAATCGAATGACAACTACATTTTAAATATTTAAAATTTCCTTCTGCCCTTTAGTTATCATATATATATATATATATATGTATAAGTAAACGTAAAATTATTTATTATACTTCTTAATTTTCATTATTATTCATAAACATGCAAACATTTACTTCATTAATTATTGGCACTATGTACTACTATAATGTCTCTTAGCAAAAATATAAATCATAAACAAACAATGTATTTAATTACTAAGATATTTAAAATTTATTTTACAACTGACAATTAATACACCGCACTAGTCAATATTAAATCAACTAACACTAACAATGAGAAACCAAAAATCAGATATATAAAAATGTATTTAGTCACAAATTTATTTAATAGTAATACAATATCAATAATAAAACGTATTGCAACTACCCAATAAAATAATATTGGATCTGCTAACAAGAACTTTAACAAATAATATCCATAGGTAATCATGATTAAAACGTTAATTACTTGTAATTTCTAACAATAAGTTATAACTACTTCAATCATATATATTTTATCGCACATTTCATTCATCAATTAACCTATTAGATTTATGGATAATTTATACTAAAACATATCCGTAAAGAAATAAATACTAAATACATATATGCTTAATTTTTAATTAGAATTGGTTATTTTCATTAGGAAATTGCCAAGTTCAAATGTTTAATTTATGCAAATATTAACAAATATTTATACATAGGTATTTTGGAAATCTTTGGATCGTGTATAATTCTCATAAAAAATAATGTAAACTTTTATTGATTTAAGTAGAATTATTATTTTTCTCTTACTATTCATACAAATTCATATAAATTCGAGTGTTGTAAGAACAATATTATCATTCGTTTCTGTCTTAATTTGTTTAATATTATTTTGTTACGCATAAATGCAGTATTATAAATGAAATATAATAATTTTATAATTTTACAGAACAATACTATTATCATTATGTTAGTCATAAAACTTTTCTTTATATAAAACATGATTAACTATAAATATTTCGATAAAAAAAACACTCGTTAATGATAAATTAATTGGCAATCGCATTATTATAACTTATTATTTTTTATTGATTAATAAATTGGTTTACAAAAATGACTAATTTTATAAGCTTCTTTGATCTAATCAATCCGAGTTTTGCACTAATCTATTACAATATGGAAACGAATTTAAAAAAGTTGACTTCTTTAATGCCACATTCGATAGATGTTAATAATGTAATTCGTAGCCATAATAATATTTTAATTCTGTTGATTTATCAGTTAAATATGTATCAATTGCGATTTGTTAATCTAATTTAAAATAGATTAGGTATATTCATATTCATACGTTATAATTGTATTAGACATTTAGTAAGTGTCATTGTAATGATAGATTTTCTTTATTATATGTTTTACTAAAATTTTGTTATTACGTTTTTGCTAAATTAATCATAAAATATCAATCGAACCAAAAACAAATTACATTTAAAATTATTTATTCGAATGCATAAAACAAATCATACAACAAATATAAAATTAAGTATATATCTTATCTTTTGGCGGCTTATCGTTTAATCGTAACGAAATTCAATTCAATTTCTTAGACGAAATTTTTTTTGTTCGATAGATCTTTTATTATAATTGTTGATTGTTTATTAGACAAAATATTATTTATTAAATATACATATACAGGCGAAACATTTTCAAGTTCAAAATATTTTTCGATAGGCCGATGTTTAAGTTTGTGAATTAGGGATAGTGATTCTTAAATTTTTCAATACCTAATATTGATTTTGCAGAATGGCTTGAATGTTTAAGCATTAAAAGCTTTACGTTACTTTCTTTTTTTAGTTCATTATAGAATTTTGTTGAATAATTATTGTATTATTGTTTGTGTTTAATTAAACTGGCCCGAATAAAGTTCGTAATGGGATGTTGATTGACACAATTGAACTATCCTTACATGCTGATAATTAATTCCCTTTATAATTGCAACTTTACACGTTTAGCTTATGTGTTCTTAAAAATTAATTACCGTTATTGATTTCCGTTTTCTTACCTTTCCATTTATATTGCAATATTGTTTCATCTCTTGTTGTTTGATACTCATGAATGACAACAAAATTGGATTATACATTCGACAGCCCTTTTGTTTCATTATAACAATATTGTAATATTGTTCTCATT